CTTTTCAGAATGCTTGTGTTAAAAAAAAAAAAAAAGTTAAATAATAAAGTGCCAAGCTCCAATATCCTCTTTATTTTCAAAAATACCTCTAGAGTTAACATAGGCACCATAGGCATTCTTAGAAATTAATTGGTGTTTGACTAAAGCCCAAATATTTGTTTGGAAGAACTTGCCCAGAAAAAAAAAGTAAGTCTGGTAGAAGCATTCTGGGAGCTGTGGGAAGCAACTTTTGGTAAAGGGGTATTCTATAATTGGCCATGCCTATCATGGTAGACACATTGTGAGAGCTCCCCACAAGCAGGAATTAATACATTATCAATCTATTATTTCTGCATTCCTGTCTTCCTTGTCAAGATTGTCCTCAGATTGTCCCAGCTTCCCTCATATGAGATCTAAACCTTGGTTTGATACTGAATTTATCAAAGCAAAAAAGCTCCTCCTCCTTGCAGTAAATGCTTTCTAATGTAACAACTCTTTCAATGTATTTCAATTGCTTCTAGAGTAAAACAAATCTATAAAGACTTACTAAAATCTTACTAAAAAGAAAAGGCAAGCTATGAGAGAGGAATGGGAGATTTAATTGCAGCTGCTAAGTTTAAGAACCTGTTTTGATTCTGGCATCTAGGTAACAACTCTTTTAATGATAGAGGCTTTGATTCAACCTGCCAAATATCTGCAGGAGCATGGGAGAATAATTTCCAGAGTGTCTTCACAAGGGAATAATTAATTAATCCAGTTATGACTTAATCTCAAAATGCTCTTCCTAACTGGCCACCTATATCTACATCTGAACTTAAGGACCTTATTACTGTATAAAATTAAGACCTGGAAAAGCCCTTGGAAGGGATTTTATTCCCCCAGAATTATTAAGGGAGGGTTGGTGGCTTCCAGTGATGACTGCTTTATTTACAAATATTAACAGTTTAACATGTTTTCTGTTGGACTGGAACCATGTCATTGTTATCCCTTTCTATAAAAATAAAGGAAATAGGCTTGATCCTGCCAACTATAAACCCATTAGCCTGTTTTATACAATAAGCAAGCTATATGCCAAATACCTCTCTCTAAAATAATGGGAATGCATCAAAAATAAACATATTTTCGTTGAGGAACAGGCTGGCTTTAGAGGGGGTCAGTCAACTCTAGACTATTGTCCTTTACCATTTAAATGAAAAATATTCCTCCCATCCCAGAGGTTTCTTTTTTGCAGCCTTCACTGATTTCAAATTGGCCTTTGATTTGATCCAAAGGGAGAATCCATGGGAAAAATGAAGGGATTCCTCAGTAGACCAAAGACTGCTATTTGTTAGTCTCTCTATTCTAACATGTCTTTTTTTAATTTATTTTTTAAATTTTTTGATTACAAAAAGAAGAAAAAAATACACAAAAGTGCTTTAACATAAAAGTGAAAAAAATACCACAAAAAGAAAAAAAGTGTTAACATATCATTATAACAGTAAACAGTTACAATTCTATAGATGCTTACCTAATACAAATATTATTCAAATACATCTATATTTTTAATAGAGTTATATGACTATCATGTTTTTTTTAACCCAGTGTATTTTGTATAAGTGAGTCCCATATTTCATTATACTTGTCCATACAAAGTCTACATCTATAGGCAATCCGCTCGTAAGTAGCAAGTGCAATCAGATCTTCAATCCATTGAATAAATGGGGCCATAGGTTTATCTTTCCAATGCTGCAGTATCAGTCTATTAGCCATAGTAAGGGCACAGAGAATCCATTTACATTGTCTGGGTGTCCAGTTCCATGTATTAGGTATATAGTTATAAAAGAATATTATCCTCTGAAAATTTTAGCTTTTGTTGCACAGTCATATTTATATAGTCTAGTACTTTCTCCCAAAACTTAGTAAGTATAGGACATTGTAAAAACATATGCTTTAAAGAGGCATTGTCCTTATTACATCTCCAACAAAATGCTGTTTTTGGCAATCCTTTTCTATACAGACGTAATGGAGTCCAAATTCTAAATATTATTTTGTGTTGTATAAGTCGTAGTTTGAGGTCCATTGACACTCTTGCTATAGAAGTTAAGACACTCTCCCATTGTCTAGGAAATATAGAAACCTCTAATTCTTTATTCCACTCATCCCTTAACATCTGCATACCAAATTGATTTATTGATAACAAATATCTATACAAACCAATAGTAGGTTTTTTAGTTTTAAAGGATTTAACAAGTTGTTCTAATATCTCAGTATCACATAAGCTGAAAATGCTGCTGGTCCAAACAATGTGGTTAACAAATGTTGAAACTGTAAATATTGCCATTGATCAATGATATTTATCTCAACACAGAATACATGAAAAATTCATCTTCATCATCTATCAGTTGGTCCAAAGTCAATATCTCTGCTTCCATCCAATTTTTCCATATCACCATCTTTTTCCATATCTCTGCTTCCATCCAATTTTTCCATATCACCATCTTTTTCCATATCTCTGCTTCCATCCAATTTTTCCATATCACCATCTTTTTCCCAATTTTTAAAGTTGGGTTTCCCCATAAAGTCAATTTGGCATAGGAGAAAGGGTCAATTTTTTAAAATAGACATTCCATTCCATAGCTTTCTAACTGACAAAATTGTTTCCAAAGATATTAGAGCTTTAGTATATTTCAATCCTAATACTGTCCATCTGACCTCACATCTCTTTGAGAATTAGATATTCCAAATCTTTCTGGAACTGTTCCTACATAGAGAGGGGTGAGGCAGAGGCCATGTTACCTCCCTTACTTTACAATTTGTATTTTAATTCAATCATTCAAGCCCTTTCAGTTCCTAAGCATCACCCTCCTGAATTAGCAAATAGAGTGGTTCCAGCTGTTTTATACGCAGATCGTTGTAATTATGACTATTTCCCAGGTTGGAATAAGAAGGGCACTGGGGGCATTGCTCTCTTTTTGGCTTGAACTTGTTATAAATCATAAGAGAAGTAAATTTCTAGTACAGTGGTACCTCGGGTCACGAACGCTTCTGTTCATGACCAATTCGGGTCACGAACAGCACCGTTCGCAA